GAAAGTGAACAAACTACTTCACATATCTGTAACAAGATTAGTTATGATTTAAAAAATAACTGCTCTGTCTTTTAGGTTCAGGAATATGGATCAAACACCTAAAGCCAATTTTACTTTTGACATAATGTTCCGATGTAGCAAATAACACTTGTCTTTTTGGTCATATCAGCCTCATCACTACCCAAAAATGACCCTGCAACTTCTCAATAACCGATCAACCACACCAACAAGCTGTAGAATTAGCTTCACTGTTTTGTAATTCATGTATTGCCAAATCACTCAGCGAGAGAAAAGAAGGAGGGAGGGAAATATATGAGAGGGAGAGAAAGATATGAGAGGGAGAGAGGCAGGCAAGGGTGAAAGGAGAGAAAGAAGGGAGGGAGGGAGGGAAGACATTTAGGCACAGTGGTGCACACCTGTAATACTAGCACTAAGGGTGCTGGGCTGGAACATCTCCATTTCAAGGCCAACCAGGCTATGGAGTGAAAAACACTTTTTAACAACAAAAGCAATGAAAGTTAAACAACCACACTGGAGAGAAAGTAACATAAGCTTCCCTGCTCTATTATATGTGAAGTCAAAAGGTTTTAACATAAGATTCTCTGTAAAGAAATGGTGGAGCAGTGAAATTACCAGAGAAGGATTTGATGAAGCAGAGCTATGGTATAGCTTTAGTAAATAAAATCATCTGTCAGAGTCAAAATACTACACACAAAAGGGGGAGGTTTATAAGAAATATATTAATTCTTAGTACATATGAAATAATTCATCACAGCTCTTCCACCCAATTTCAAGCTTTATTTTACTATCTTAAATATCTTAAAGTGCACTGTATGGGTGATGTGACACTTCACTGTGAAATTAAGTGGTAACTCTTGACAAAGTAGTCATTATCAGGAGATAATTGACCTTATTTGAGAGCTAAGCATCCTGAGGCAAAGTTGAGTGTACTTAATCCTGGCAGGTTAATTATCTAGTGATTAGGAAACCTTAAAAGGTATTACTCTTAAGAACCATTTTCAAAATGACTCTATTCAAAAACTTCTTAATTTAATAATAATGAAAAACAAGAACAATCAAGTTCTTTAATCATGTACAGGTACACAATGACTAGAAAGCAACTAGCACGAGCTGATATCAATAGATATAATTGATAATTACCTACACGTCCTTTATTAAGCTGATTGCATGTGAGTTTGTTAAAAAATGATATAGACATATATAACATAGGATAAACCTAGTAAAAACGGTACATCTAAAGAAACTAATCAAGAGAGAGGACCCTGACTAAAACGCTCAATCCCCATCCTGAAAGGCAAAGAGGTTGGACATCAGAAGAAGAAGAAAATAGGAAACAACCTAGGAACCTGCCACAGAGGGCCTCTGAAAGCCTCTGCCCTGCAGACTATCAAAGCAGACGCTGAGACTTATGGCCAACTGTTGGGCAGAGTGCATGGAATCTTATGTAAGAAGTGGGAAATACTAAGAGCTGGAGAGGACGGGAACCACACAAGGACAGAACCAGAAAAATTGAACACAGGGAACTTCCCAGAGACTCATGCTCCAACCAAGGACTATTCATGGAGATAACCTAGAACCCCTGCACAGATGTAGCACATGACAGTTTAGTGTCCAAGTGGGTTACATAGTAATGGGAAGAGGGACTGCCTCTGACATAATCTGATCGGCCTGTTCTTTGATCACCTCCCCCTGAGGGGGGAGCAGCCTTACCAGGCCACAGAAGATGACAATGCAGCCACTCCTGATGTGATCTGATAGACTAAGATCAGAAGGAAGGAGAAGAGGACCTCCCCTATCAGTGGACTTGGGGAGGGGCATGCGTGAAGAAGGGGGAGGGGGGTGGTACCGGGAGGGGAGATACAAAGTGAATAAAGTGTAATTAATAATAAAAAAATAATATTTCTGAAGGAAAATGTTTAAAACTTTGAAGATGTTTAAAATTTAATTAAAAATTTAACATTTACAGAGTTTATATACTAGAGAAGTATCAAAACTACTTTAGTCAATATAACCTATGAATTCATACATTTCATTTCAAAGTAGAAAATAAAACGTAAGAGGGTTACCAAGGATTTTGTTTCTTTATTTAATTATTCATTTACTTTTTTTCTTGCTTTTTTCTTAAAGGCAGGGTCTAAGCTGGCCTTGTACTCATGGCAATTCTCCTGCCTCAGTGTCATGAACGAACACACTATCTTACTAAATATTTTGAAGTTGAGAAAAGAAAAACATGCCTCTGTGCATTTCTGAATCTTAGGGAAATGGCTGCAGGACAGACAAGTGGAGGACTACTTGCCTAGAACACAGAAGACACTGTATTTTACCCCTGGAAAGCAAATGGGAAGTGCTTTGGGGTAGAGAGAGAGAAAAAAAAAGATTATTCAATTTTAGAAAACAATATACTTCTAAGACATGCTATAACATGGGCAAACTTTGAAAACATTATGGGATAATAAATAAGCCAGGGATGTCGGATAATTATTAAGTGAAGCTAACTGTATGAGGTATTAGGATGTGCAGACTCATGATGACATGCAAAAAAGGTGACTACCAAGGCCTGGCAAGACAGAAAATGGATGGAGTTATTAGTTATAAGCAGAGAGCTTCTGCTTGGGAAGAAGAAAAAATTCTGCAAGTCGACCATGGGAAGTGAGCTGCACGCTTGAAATGATTGGGACGATCAGCTTTGCCTCCACCTCCCAAACACATGGAATAGAGGGCTGTGAGGTTTCTGTAGCCAGGCAAAGCATTCTACCAACTGAGTTGCATTCCAGGTTCCTGTTAAGTGTTTCATACAATATAAGAAAGTAAATCACTTAGTGTACATCACAGTCCTTGAGAAACGATATTCCTATTCTGTCTTAGGATGTACATAATTATTTTCAAACAATTCATTTTTTTTCCTTCCTTTTAAAACAGTAACCTGGGTTCCTGGGTTGGCTTCAAAATTTTGATCCTCCTTCCTCTACCTTCCAATTGATAGAAACACAAGCACACATTGTTGCTTCACTAACTTATGAATTCTAGTTTTGGTTCAAAGGGAAGAGTGACTATAAGACGAGTTGAAACTCTTTCAAATTCAGGGATTTATTTCCCCCTCATCATTTTATTTACTTTATATATATTTGAGACAGCAGCTGCAATATCATAACTCGGGCTGATTTGAACTTTCTGTGTAGCTCTGGCTTATCTGAGACAAGTCTGCCTCTTTCTGATAAGTGCCTGTGCCATCACACACGTCTTTTCTGGTATTCTTCACGCTAGCTTTTCAGAACTCCAACTCAGTCTCCTCAATTCAAACACACTGTATGGCTACTTGGCTTAATTCTGAATGCTACAGGCTTGGTACTTCTCAAACTGTGGGTCATGACCCCCTTGGGAGGTCAAAAGACCTTTTCACAGGGAGTCACTTAAGACCATCAGAAAACACAGATATTTACCTTACAATGCATAACAACAGCAAAATTACAGTTCTAGAGCAGAAACAAAAATGACTTTATGGTTGGGGCTCACCGTAACGTGAGAAGCTGCATTAAAGGCTGCAGTATAGGAAGGTCGAGATCCGCTGTTGAGTGATACGCTGGACAATCGTCACATTTGTGTCTTTCAATTGTTTCCTGGGGATCACTGATTACTGTCTGTGAAGGGGTGGTGTTGCTGGGCAAGTTGGCTCTTATTTATTTATTTATCTATCTATTTATTTATTTTTAAATTTTATTTATTTACCTTTTATATATGTATGGGTGTTTTGCCTGCATGTATGTTTAAGAGGGTATTTGATCCTTTGGAACAGGAGCTAGAGACAGTTGTAAGCTACCATGTGAATGTTGGGAATCAAACTCCGGTCCTCTGGAAGAGCAGCCAGTGCTCTTAATAACTAGTCACCTCTCCAGCTCCTGATTTTTGTTTATTCATCTGGAAACAAAGTTTTGTTGCGTGGCTTCGGCTAGCCTTGAACCAGCAATCCTCTAGCTTGTAGCCACCTACCACTATGCCTGGCTTGCCAAGGCATTTTGTTTTTAACTGAGACTACAGAAATCATTAATGCTAGTACTCAAAGCTCTCCAGAAAAGGAAAGGGACAAGGAAGTACAAGATAAAAGCTAAGTGTGCTTGATGTTAGCTAATTTATCGACATTTTAGAAATCAACTATTAAGCAGATTTTTTGGGGGGGAAAGATTATACTTAGGGAGAAAAAGGAAATAGAAAATAATTGTAAATATATACACAAATACAAACATTTCTTGTGAGATATATATTTTACATCGCAGTGCATTTTTATGACAAAACGGTTTCCTTTTTAAAAAAAACTGAAGATAATTTATTATTATTACTAATATATTCAAGGAGAACAGTGGATAATATGTTCAAATGACAAAACACTAATCTACTTGCTCTTTGTAATCAAATACAGTATCATCTTTATTATCCCTATCTAACTGCTTCAACTTAGCTGATATTTCTAGATGATTAACATTTAAAACATCTGATTCTGACGTCCAGCTCACTTGGTATCATTAAGGTGTTGCATTATTTGACTTTGTATTATGTGTAAATGCAGCTGCATCCAACTGCAGTGTAAAGTGCAGGGCAAACACCTCATATCCCACTATGAAGCTGTTTGTTTATCAGAAGGCCTTTAGAGACTGCCTCAATAAAATACCAAACACGTCTAATCAGCTTGTAGCACTTTTACATAGCGCACATCATGATAGATATTACAGGGTACTTGTCTTTACTAGTTATTGATTGACCATAATAGGCCTTACCATAAAAATATTTGTTGGAATGAATGCAAATAAACAGGATTTACGAACAAAAGAGATGAAAAAGTTGTTTAACATGACATGCAGCCATGTAGCAGCTCACAGTTTTGTGCTCTAGGTCCACACAGTCCAGAAACAGACAAATCTTTTTTTTTTTCATGGTGGGATTAAAGGCATGTACTGCCACCCCTGGCTTTTTCTAAAGCAACTCACCGTCTCATTTCCAAAGAGGATGTCAACATAAGGCATGACTTTCATCAAGGATTCCTTGAAGAACTGACTAATAAACGGTGCAGACAGATTCAACGTGAAGACCCTGTTGTTCTCGGCAGCATGGCGAGCCACTTTCAATACTGACTCCGGGGAAACTGTAAGAAAGAAGCCCTGGACAAAGAGAGAGAGAGTGGGGATTTAGAGCTGTCAGGAACGTATACAAAATACCAAGTTTAATTATAAAATCCAAGGTAGAAATGGTTACATCTAACTAAAAAAAGTTCATCATGTGAGTACAACATATTTGATATATAGCAGTACTAAAAAGTAACATTATTTATTTGATATTAGATCACATCTATGCACTATCGAAGAATACTTGGAATCTACAAACAAAAATACTCAAGAAAATAACAAGTATATTTAAGTTTGAGAAATATAAATAGAGGTAGACTAAATGCTTTTAGCCTCTTATACACTTTCAGCATCTTTTCAGTGATTTAAAAATGTTTTATAAAGAGCATACCTTATTTATCTTAAAAATATCTTAACTGAATTTATTTGATTCTATTTTAGGCTTGAGAAAGTGTTCCCTATGTTAACCAAGGCTGGCCTGGAGAGTTCTAGGAGCCTGAAGATTTCCGGTGTGTGTCACAATGTCTGTATTTTTTTATTACTTACTTTAATTAGAATTTTCAAATAATAAGAAAACAACCCACGGCTACAAAACAAAATTATTTTAATTAGTTTAATTGCCAGAAATGGTATATTTTAAAATAGTGTTTATCTATATTTTTCATGATAAAGTCTTCTTAGCATACATTAATGATTTCTAGCTGGAAACATAGGCAAAGATATGGATAAATTTGAGGGAAAGTGGTTAGGAAGGCACAGAGGCGAGGAGACAAGTGAAAGCACAGTAACCGAAGATGAGGCTGTGTTAATACAAGGGCCTTGCAGGGTAGTCAGGATGTACTGAACAGCAACATGGGAGAGTACTGAGGAAGCAGTGTGGGTAATGAGTTTTTCTCAGAAGAAAGGAATATGATTACAGGAAAATGCAAGAAAGGCAAACTGGACAGCAATACTTTATCAACAACTAATAACACCTGTGTTTGGCTATGTAAAAGGAAGCCACATTGGAGTTTGAAGCATAGGCCCTATAGACCGTGTAAAAGGCAAAGAATAGAATTCAAAGATGATGTTTAAATAATTTAAAAAAGAACACTGGTCTTATTACTAAATAGAGAAGTCTAGAATAAGACTTGTATATAGAGCATTCAGTTTTGGTCATACTGATCAAAGTTTCCATTAAAAAAATTGACTCATGAGAAATAGGTCAGAAGAAGGTTGTGGTTCTAATTACCAAGGAAGGGAGTATGGACCAATAAGGGAACAGATGGAAAAAAATACAGAAGAGGAGAGGAAAGGAAGGCAAACAAGGAGAAAACAGCAGAGAAACCTTATAGGGAATTTTACGTGTTCAGGGTTGCAGGGAAGCAGAAGTGTCAGTAGCAGACATATGACCTGATTACTAGAAAAAACACTCACTGTGAGGGTAAATGACAGAGTATTTGAAGGACCTGAGTAGGGAACACCCATCAAACCTAGAGATAAGCAGTGAATGTTGATAAAACCATCTGAAATTTACTGATTAGCTCTGATGTACCAAGCACTGAAGTACAACCTTCCAACTTACTGAGTATTATGAAACCCATGGAGTATACACTGTTTATTACTCTCATTTTATAAACAATTCTGAAATGAAAACAGAGAAATTTTCTTTTGATGAAAGAGCGAATGAGAGGACAGGGTCTGGCACGAAACTCAGGCTTGCCTTGGACTCCAACTCCTATAACCTCTTCTTCCCAAGTGGTGGATAACAGGCACCATAGGACAGCTGTATTTTGCCCATTCCTGCTTTTCAAAGAAAACAATCAAATGAAGAAACAGAAGGAAGAACTAAGGGAGGAGGATAGTTAGAGCAAAGAACCAGAGGAAGGGGAGTCACTGTAAACTAGGCAGGAAGAAGAGGAAATAATAACAACATATAAGAAAGTGTCATTAAAAGATTGTGAAACATGTCCAGGCATGATCTTGCACACCTGTGTTTCCAGCATTTGGTAGGCAGAGCCTGGAAGATTGTAGAGTTCAAAGCTAGCCTAGGCAATATAACATACATCCAGTTCATCTCAACAAACCAAAGTTGCAAAATGTTATGATGTATGGACTTGTATTTGAAAGTCTAATCACTTATATCATATGAGGAGACGAGAGAAAGAAAAAAAATAGAAAAAATATCAATTTATTTTCATATATCAAGTTGAACATAATATTCTAATAAATTTTGTGGTAGCAGTCACTTGTATAATAATCTATTTGTGAAGATGTTTACTGCCCTTATACAGTTGTAAAAATTAAGAGACAGAGTTGTAATTGTGCCAAGAAACGGCACTTTGGAAATAGGATAAAACTGCAGAAGATAACTTCTGTGTGAGAGTTCCATTTTATATGAAAGTAGACCACAAGACCTCATTCCAGGCTTTTGTGCCATTCCTGGAGGATGAGAAGAATCTGGAAAGATGGTATTCCTTCACCTGTTCATATTTATTCATTCATTCACTTATTTATTTATTTATTTATTTATTTATTTAGTCATTTATTTATTTATTCATTCATTCATTCATTTACCTTTTTACTTATTTACTTACTTACTTACTTACTTATTTATTCATTTATTCATTTATTTATTTATTTATTCATTCATTCATTTATTTATTTATTTATTTATTTATTTATTTATTTATTTATTTATTTATTTATTTATTTATGTGTCTGTGTGTGTTGTTTTTTGAGGCAGGTTTCTCTGTGTGGTCCTGGCTATCCTGGACTCAATTTATAGACCAGGCTAGCCTCGAACTCATCCAGATCTGCCTGCCTCTGCCTCCCAAAGTGTTGGATTACAGGTGTATGACACCATGCCCGGCTTCACCTGTTGTTTATTACCATTAGATATTACATCATATCCCCTTGCCCTAGCTTGATTCTTTAAAAAAATTATTTCTTCAGAATTTAGTCATATAGTACAGGATAGACATACTACAATGTACAGACACCCAAAGATAAGCCCGATGGGCATCTTAGGCTTTATGTGGGCTCACTAGTTAGGGGAGTGGGGCACATCTCTAACACATACTATGTTGCCTGCTTTTTATCACTTACCCCTGATGGGACTTCCCCACCAGGCCACGGGGGAAGAGGAACTCAGTCCTCATGTGACTAGATAAGCTGGGGTGTCTGGGTAGGGGCTCCCCTATTTTGAAGAATAAAAGAGAGGTGATGCAGGACGGAGAGTTGGACTGGGAGGAGGAGCCTATGACTGAGGTGTAAATTGAACTAAGTAATTAAAAAAAAGGAAAAAAAAAGAATTTTGCGTAAAATAGTTTATCCAAAGCTGTGAGACTTCACGTCTAAGTGCTCCTGTGTAACATGAAAGTTTGCCAAATAGATTTGTTGTGCCTTTTTCTCCTGTGTTGTGAGTGCCAGCCATGACCCTTGCAATGGTGAGCTATTACAAATTATAATAACACAATGTTTTCTCACTTAGAAACTCCATGCTGCTAATTCTTAACCACTAGTCAATTGTTCTAAAAGGTAACATTTAAGCACCATTAAAAAAATATTTTCAACATTTTTTCTTTAGACACATGCCATTTGAAAACTATCAGCATCCAAGCTGTGTTCTTTGCTATTTCTGTCACTAGGAGAATTTAATGGAGCGGTTTATACAGCATCTGTCTCTGTAGTAGTATGTATGTACTTGCTTTTTTAGTCTTTTATTTAATGAGACGAGTTTAAAGCTTTCCTCTTATTTTTCTCTAAACTGTTACAGCATGAAATAGAAACCTCCCAGAGCTAGCATTCTGCCAGCTGTGGATTAACCACAGACAGCCACAGAATGGTCTATATAAATAGTAACCTGGTCAAATAATTAGGCTTCTCACCAACTTCAGACTGAAAATTTGATCTGTGCTCCAATACACATGATTGTAATTTAAGTCACAGAACAGTATGCCTCTAGAGCCTAAATTTGGCCTGATTCCAAATCTATGTATGTTGTATGTGTTTTACTTTAAAATATAATATAATTGTATTATAATATGGATAGTTTACATTTGATTTCTGTTAATTTTATAAAGAATAGGCAAAAACACTAGCTTCTAAATAAGTAATAAATGTACAACTTAATTATATTTTAAAATAGGCTCTTATTTTGTAAAGTAAATATTCAGAATTTAAACAAGTTGGGATTTGTGATGTTAGCTTGTAAAGATTGTTAAAATTCATGCCAACCATAACTTTTCTTCCCAGATTTATAACCTTTACTAAGGCACGTGTTCCAGCCTACAGCATGACCCAAAGTAAAAACAGAATTGTTTTGTTCATGACAGGTTTGTAATAAAAATAAGTGAAAAGTCTATATGTCTATGCTTTAGAAAAGCACTCTATATATCCAGCAAAATCTTGGGATTTTGAAGTTAGGGATGTCAGTTTACACAGTTAGCTCTGTGTGTCTCTCCCTGTAAACAACATATTTTCTTACAGGTTGAAAAACATTAATCAGAACTGAAAACAAAGGGGGATATCCTTATACACTATGAACAAAAAAGAAAATAGAGGTAAACGACTATGTAAAACTAAAGACCATTTCAGCAAAACTTGACACTGGAAATCTTAACCACTCTAAGGGATTTCTCAGGGTATTTTAAAGATAGTAGAAATTAGAAATATACGAAGACTGTGTGAGGTATTCCAGAAGCAGAAAGACACACATGGTATATAATCACTTGTAAGTGGATACTAGATCTATAATATAGGATAAACATACTCAAATCTGTACACTTAAAGAAGCTAAACAAGAAGGAGGACCAGGGGTAAGAGGATCAATCCCCACTTAAAAAGACAAAGGGGAAGGACATTGGAAGAAGGAGAAAACAAGAAACAAGAAAGGAGCCTACCACTGAGGGCCTCTGAAAGTCTCTACCTAGCAGTATATCAAAGCAGATTTTGAGACTCATAACTAAATTTTGGGCAGAGTGCAGGAAATCCTATGAAAGAAGAAGTAGTTAGTAAGACCTGGAGAGTACAGGAGCTCCACAAGGAGATCAACA